CGCTTTTCAAATATATCAGGTTAATAAATATGGAAACCTTCTAATACTTCCAAAGCGGACTAACGGACACGTAAACTGACAAATAGGCCCACAAGTGGCGCGCGTACATGGGTAGGAGCGCGACGGCTCTTGCAACCAAGCCTTACCGACGAGTAAAATGCATAGACCGTCGATAAATTCATCATCATCATCTGCTCGCTTATTCGTAGAATCATCAATTGTTATGTACATGTCTACAAACATCTGCATTGAGGTAAACAATTAAAACATATTCAGTATTTTTATTGCTTACATTGTAGGCCTATATTTTAGCACGTTATAGCTTTTAATTTAAATTTCGAGTGATAAAAGATTAGGTTTGCGTCAAAAACAGACAAAAAGACAATATAACTATATGCTATATTTCTTCGTATTCACCTTTAATTGACGGTAATCAATTTAAACATTTTCATAGTAATAAAATAGTGAATCAGAGACCTTTTTGTGTTTATGATTGAAGCATTTTTTTTTTTATTCTTTGAAATATTCTGGCCAATGATTAGAATTAATTTGTGAGGGTTTTTTCCATATTTGATGGCAGACGGTAAATTTATATCATTAATTTAAAGCATCAATGTTATGCAGCGGTAGGCCTGATGCTTTGCATTTGGCTTATAATGAAATATCGAAAGTTCGAGCCTGTTAAACCTACTTGTTTGTATCCCCTGGCAAAGCAGCTCTTGTCTAATATGATTATTCTATACTCCCACGAGGAGCTGAGTATGTGTTCATCCATAGACCAAAGTTATAATATAAAACGCATTGAGGCAGTTCTAATTTAATTATGATTCGCTATATGAGACTAATATAGTTTGATTACATTATATAGAATAATACTAATATCATTGCGCAACATTTTTTTTCCGTTAAGGTTAGAGGTTAAATGTCACTAGTTATTTCCTTTTTTTTAATTTATTCATTTATTTTTTTTTTCTGCAATACTTATTTTTTGTCACGACTGAATATCTCTTCGTCTCTCGTTGTTAGATACAATAATTTAAAACTAATATAATACTACTTCTCTAACGTTTATTTTGTTTTGTATACGTCTAATATTTTAAATAACATTGCCGATAAAAGAACAGATAGACGAGTGGCGTGATGTCTTGGAGTGACAGAAACGACAGACGGACGGCGACGGGCATAAGACCACCGAAAGACAGTCATTATCTTTATCCTGCTGATGGTTAATAGAGATATATTACTGCAATCATATTATTTTAGCTTACACTCACTCACAATACAAATCCATAACAAAACAGTTCACGTCCTTTTGTCAAATCAGTTTATTTTTTTTGCTTGTTGAAGGTAATGAAAATATTTTGCAATATAATAAAATCATACGCAACTGTTTTAAGGTGAAATAAAATAATCTGAAAAGCACTGACGCAAGAGCAACAAATTGCGCTTGTACGATAAATTGCAGCCATAGCTTGAGGCGACGTCATTCATGTTGTTGAGTCCACATTATTACCTGTAACCATGATTCTGATTGGCTGGTATTGAGCGCGTACATACACTTAAAATCGCGCTTACTTTTATGTCCGTGTCCCCTCCAACCGGCGCCACATCTGAACGCGACAAAAGAGCTAAAATTTACAAACAAAAAACTGAAACTTTTTGATTCGCTGTTTTGTTAAAAACGCTTTATCGCAAAAATGAGCCGTTTGTGTACAATTGCGCATGTGGTGAAACTCGTGTTGTTCAAACAGAAACACGACTGATGGTGAATCACCTGTCATGATTTAAATCATATCATACCTCTAGGAAACATCAGATTCGCATTGGATGTAGTTCTGTCATAATCTGTGGTGTCTCCCAGGGGTCTATATTGAGACCAATATTATTTTTATTGTATTCTTCACTGAGTAAACTTATTAGTAGTCAACTGTATATTAGCTTTCAAGTTAATCATTGATCTGAGGCAAAACATACAATTGAAACATGTCTTAGGGATGTACAAGCCTGGTTATCACAAAAATAATATGCTGTGCTTCAATCCTGACAAGACTGAAGTGTATTCATTCGAAGTACCTTTCAACACCGCCTCCAATCAATAGCATCGCGATTGGAGCCGAGACTAATGTTCTTCTATTATCAGAAGTTTGCAATATTGGAGTTGTTTTTGACTCTAATATGTTGATGGGGAAACACATATCCAAAATCTGCAAGTCAGTTACATATCACCTTCGTAACATCAGGCACATTAAAAGGCTCCTGACCAATGACGCTCTTCTTAAATTAGTGCATGCTCTTATTACATCTCGGTTGGATTTCTGTAATGTTGTTCTCTGTGGTATTCCTGCTAGTCGGTTGAGAAGATTGCAGCTATGTCTTAACACAGCAGCCCGGCTCGTCTCCGGAACATCTAGACGTGAGCACATTACACCTATCCTCAGTCGACTACATTGGTTACCGATAAACAAGCGCATCTCATTCAAGATTTTACTCCTCACATACAAGGCTCTCAAGCATAATGCTCCACAATACATTGTTCAACTATAATTGACGTCTCGTTCTACAACATGTTCTCGGTCTCTGAGATCAACCACTGACACGTCTAGTTCCCGCATCACGTCTTAAGACCTACGGCGACAGGGCGTTCTCTGTAGCTGCCCCAAAGTTGTGGAATTCATTACCGGCTGATCTTCGTGAGGCACCTTCACTCCTTGTATTTAAAAATAATTTGAAGGCTTATCCCTTCAATCTTTGTTAACTTTCTCATGGTTAATAATGCTCATTTATTTGTTAATCTCTGTAGTTAAATTTCTGTAGTTAAGTTGTGTAGTTAAATCTTTTTTCCACTGAAAAGTCGCACCTCCTTACCAGAGGTAGCGCCGCCAACTTAGGAGTGCACGGTAGGGGAGCCATAGGCTTATCCTTGGTGGAAGCTACACGGTAGTGATGGCAACGCTATCTCAAAACCAGGGGTGCGCACTCCCCCCCCCCCCCCCCCCCCCCCCCTTTTTTTCCCCCCCCCCCTTCGCGTTCTTTTGTCTTTGTTTCTTGTGGCTTCAAAAGCGCCTTGAGACGGTTTTCTGTGGAAGGCGCTATATAATATATGACCATTGACCATTGACCATTGAATGACATTAGTAGTGCTGATTAAGTTTGCGCCAACGCGTCTAAGTTACTCTAATGTAAATAAATAGGCTTAAGCCATTCCTCAAGTTTGAAGGGATCGTGATAGTAGTATAGGTGTGTTAATCAACTTTTACGGGCTGACTGTCTGTGGGACGCGTGTTGGACTACGCATAGCATAATAGACAATTGGAATTAAAGGTTTACTTCACTTTAACAGGGATAGAATGACCGAAAATTAATGACGCCGCCAATTCTAGTGATATGGAAACTTTAGCTGTTGCAACTCCGACAATATTTCAAATTACGTTCAAATAACAAGGTTGAAATATTGGTGAGAATTGTCTATTGGGTACAACATTTGTCTAATGGAAAGCGCTCTTGAATCTCTAAAACAGGTATTTCATTATAAAATACCGTAGAGATACAAAGGGATTTTAGATGTTCGACAGTAAGCTTTTACCGAGGTGTCTATCGAGTATAATTTTGTTTTTGAAAATATAAGGCTTATGGTAATAATGATGAAAATAATAATACTATAATAATAATAATAATAATAATAATAATAATAATAATAATAATAATAATAATAATAATAATAATAATAATAATATTAATATTATTATAATGATACTAATAATGATAATGATAACGAGCATGATAATGATGATGATATTGTCTCCTAAGGCTTCAATTGCCCATAGCGGAATTACTTGACTATAATTGCTTTATCAGTCGGTTGTGACGTCAATCACATTTTCTATATGGCCCTCTGCTGGTTGCAGAGCGGTTGCTATATTATTCATAAAACTGCATTCAAACTGCTGGTTGCGGTGACCAGTTGCTCACATTGATTACTGTGCGTGTGCATTACTGACACTTAGCACAGCTCTTCGCGATAGGATGAATATGAATAAATTGATTGCGGTTAATGAAGTTTCGGGTTTTTAGGCCTGAACTCATGGTTGACATTGTGTTTTCCAAAAACCGAAAGGTCCACTGATAAATCTCAGATGAGATAGTATAGTACAAACTCCAAGTATCGAAATGCACGCCATCGTGTCGGGATTCAATATTTCGACATTAAATATGTCATCATCAGGAATGACATAATTAATGTCGAAATATTGAATCCCGACACGATGGCGTGCATTTCGATACTTGGAGTATGTATTATACTATCGTACATTGTGTTTAATAGATTAAAATGTATTTTAAACATTAATATTATATTTATTTCAGTGTTGCCTTATTTTTTCAGTTCTTTTATAAGTCAATCACCTTGTTATCTCATAAGCATTATGCCTTTTCAGGTCTTGATTAGCAGCGCCTTTGAGCGAGATTTGTTAGGTTCGCTGTGTGGTGCGCTCATCATAGCTTGGCTTAGCAACGAAATATTCCATTGCGATGTAACTGTAGTAAAATCACCCCAGCTTTGAGCTTTTTGTACACGAGACGCAAAAATAATCTGAGGCAATATATATA